CTGAACGTCACGGCACCAGAAACATAGTTTTTTCAATCGAGAGGCACGCCCACGCCTCGCGTTGGCACGCGTCGTGCCCGCGCGCTTGCCTCGCAAGCGCGCGGGCCGCCCAATCTGCAATGTTGTCTCTGACACCTCCTCCATCCACCTCTCCCCCCTCCCTCCCCCCTCCGCTTCCCCCTGCAATCTCCCCCCCCCTTCCCCTCCTCCCCCCCCTCCTCGCCCCCCCCCTCCTCCTCCTCCTTCTCCTCCTCCTCCTCCTTCTCCTCCTCCTCCTCCTCCTCCTCCTAGCTCCTCCTTATTGCCACCTCTGCTCGAACCGATTGCCTGCAGAAGTGCAGGGCGCACCCCCACGGGGCAGGCTGCCTACTCCGACTGGCCGTTGACAAAGTCGCACATGTTCCTGAGCTTCGTGACCTTGGTCTGCAGGTCCTCCACCAGCTTCTCCACGTTGGTGCAGTTCGCCCAGACGGTGTTGAGGTCGTCGCGCTGGCCCAGCTCGATGGCGCCGCCCTGCGCGCCCTTCTTCATGATGGGATCCGCCGCCGTGGTCGAGTTCAGCATGTCGAACGCGGTGATCAAAGGCCTCTCGAACTTGTCCCCCCTGGCGAAGCTCCACTCGGGGTTGTTCTTCTTCAGCTCGTCGATGAGGTTGCGTGCCCGGGCTCAAATTTACCCTTTCGCCCTCGCGGGGCTGCGCCCCGCCTCCCGATAGGGGGGGGGGGGGGGGGAATTTGATGCGGGTGGGTTTGGGCACATCCGAAGTGCCCTGTTCAGCTCACAGTTGCTCCTCTGCACCACCTCGGCCACCTTCTTCACCGTGGTCCTCGCGTTGATCGTGGGCGGCTTCGGCGAGCCCTTGTTGCTGCCCCTGGCCCCCGCCTTGGACTTGGCCTTCCCCTTGGCGGTCCCCTTGGCCTTTGGCTTGAGCTGAGCCTCGGCCTTCGGCTTGCACATGGTGGCCGCGCACGTGCCCGCTGCCGCCTCGCCCGTTGCAGGAGCCTGCGCGCTTGCGGCGCTTGGACGGAGTCGACGGCGCCTCAGCGAGCATTCGGCGGCCAGGCTGGGGCTGTGGCGTAGTCTCATCCTGTTCTGGGGCGGCTGGCGCCTGGGCTGTGTCTGCTGGGGCTGCTGCTGTGGCTTCTGGGGCTGCGGCTGCTGCCTGGGCTGGCAGATGCCCCGTCGGCAGCCCGCTGCTGCTGGCTCCGTGTGCTGGCGCGCCTGGCTCTTCCATCCTCCACCATGTTCTACCTTCCCATCACCTTCCCCCCCTTCCTACTGATCCCCCCCCCCCCCCCCCCCCCCCCCCCCCCCCCCCCCCCCCCCCCCCCCCCCCCCCCCACCCCCCCCCCCCCCCCCCCCCCCCCTTCCATCCCCATGTTTTCACTCCTCGTTTCATCTCGCCCTCCTCCTCCTCTTTCTCCCCCTTCTCGTTTTCCTCCCCGTCTTCTTCCTCTTGCAGTTGTTCACCTATACCTCCGTTTCCTGTCCCACATCTCCTTGCCCTGTTCCTCCTCTGCCTCCCCCGCCTCATCCCCCTCCTCAGCATTGCTACTCTCCTCCATACCCTCCCCCCCCCTGTGCCTGCCTCCTCCCCCATATCCCCGTGCCCCGTTGCGCCTCTTGCTGGCGCGTCTCGTGGATCGCGCCCCTGATGTTGCAGTCCGACTCCTCGACGTCGCGGAACTCGATGCGCTTGCTCCGCTTGTTGAACCTGACCCACCGCGGGCCGCCCTGCTTCAGCGCGTAGATCGCCTTGTTGATGCCCCCCCCCCCCATGCACGCGGGGCTCTGGTGGCCGCCCTCCGCCGCGATCATGGCGCCCAAGTTCCTCATGACGCCTCGCTCGCCCTGGCCCCCTGGGGACGTAGGGTCGGGGCCGATAAACCAAAACTCCCCCCTGCCCCTGCGCCCGCCTCCTCGACGCCCCCGCCCCCCCGCAAAGTTCGACTCATCTGCAGATCGTCGCCCTACGTTGCGCGTCTTGCTCACGCCTCCTACGCAGCCCCAAACACGAGGGACGCCACTTTTAGAAAGTGGTTTCCCTCGTGGTTTGGGTTGCTTCATATGGGGCGCGTGGTGATCCCGATCCTCATCTTAAGTCCCCCCTAGCTCCCGTGCCCTCCGCCTCCTCCTCTTCCCCTCTCGACCCCGTGCAACTTGGCCACCCGCCTCGCCCGTCTGCCCGATCGGTCGGGTCAGCGACGCCAGCGCGCGAGCACTGCAGCGACGGCATGGGGCGGAGAGAAAGTGAATGAAATGATGGGCAGGTTCAGGGGGGGGGGGAAGGGTAGGGAGGCGAAGGCGACTGAGAAGAGGACCAGGTGAAAGGAGCGACTGGATGAGAAAGGCGAGGGGCACATCGGAGATGACGTTCGCCTCGTCTCGTGAGCCCCGAATCCTGATAGTCGCGCCACTTGCCCTGCGCCCGATCGCGCATCAAATTCTTCTTGTCGTCCTTCTGCGCCTTCCCGCACTTCTCAGCCTCGCCCCTCGCTTTCAAGAGGCACCTGGGGCGGGGGGGGGGGGGGGGGGGGGGGGGGGCAGAGGAGGATGAGGGGGGCTGAGGAGGAGGAGGAGGAGGAGAAGGAGGAAGAGAAGGATGATGGCGATGAGTACGAGGGGGGAAGTACGAGGGCGAGGGCGTGGAGGAGGATGAGGAGGAGGAGGATGGGGAGGAGGAGGAGGAGGAGGAGGAGCATTGACTGCCCCTCCCCCTTCCCGTTAGCGTTGGGCGGTGCCCTGACGCACGGACGACGCGACGGCGGGTGCAGCTTGCACCGCTTGCCCATGGCCGAGCCCATGTCGAGGGTGTGGAAGCCGTTCGCGAAAGCTTGACAACTATATTCGGGCCTGTAGTGGGGTCTCGGGTTGATGGATTTTGATGGGTGGAGCCGTTGTCGATCTTTGGTGGCTGCAGAATTCGCGATTTCCACATCGAAAATCTTTGATGGACGGCCGTTTCGCGATTTTCAAAAAGAAAATTATTGATCAACCAACGTGTTCTTGTCGGGGCGCAAACAACCAAAATGAAATTTGTTGATGGCGTCGACCCGAGAGATGTCATTTCGCGAGTTTCAAATGTCTCCCCCTTGTTTCGTTGCTCGTGCGCAATATGCACGGCCGACAATCCATAGCATCCGTCGACGATGCACCCGAGGGCCCAAGTGGATACCCTGCGCAGCTGTCGCGGTGTCGGGGCGCCGTCGCGCCATGGCGTCGCGGCGTCGCGTCGCCGCGGCGGCGTGGGGGGGGGGGCGAATGCGGGGGGCCAACGCCTTGCATGGATGTCGCGGTGTCACGATGTCGCGGTGTCCCTGCGCTACGGCGCCCCACGGGGACGAAGGCGGATTGGGCGACAGCCCTACGTTGGGGGGCCTTCGGCGGAGGAAGCGATGGCCTCATGTGACCAAGGCCAAGACGGGCCCTAGCAACCTAGAGCACCCTGAGCCCAGAAGGAACCCCATGGGACTCTGGGGAACCCAAGGCCCTGGAACCCAGCGGCCCCCGAAACACCGCCCATTTCGGCGCGCCCGTCGCGCGGATCGCGGGGTCTGGCGGGAGGAAGAGCCGAAAGCGCAGGACATGGGCTGGAGCCTGCAGGAGACTGAGTTTCGGAGGCAGGCCTGGTCGGGCGAGGCCGATCCCACCCGACCGCCTTGCCAGGCCGCTTGGTTCAGCATGGCGGCCAGGCGGGCCCCCCTCCTACCCGCCTCCTTCCACCCGAGTCTGCGGGGCGTGGGTCGCTCACGTTTTGCGGTTGCATCCAAGGGGGCCGCGTGGATGCCACCGCTGGCAAGCCTTGTTCGGAGCCTCATCGAGGCCTTAGGACTTCTGAGAGCCCCGCGGGGGCCCAGCTCGAGTAAGTTGGGGCCCACAGGCGCGCGTCTGGGGGCATATAGGCGCCTTAGTCGGGCCGCTGGTAGGGGGCGCTGCGGGGTGACCCCAAGGAATGCCCGCAGGTGCCCCCACGGACCACACCAATTGCAACTATTCAGTTGGAGGCCCCTTCGAAGGCTATCGCGGGCAGCCATTCGGAACACGTTTCGGTGAACCCTCGGGCCCCAGACGCGGCCCCAACTAGAACCCGAAAGGGCCAGATAAGCCACAGCAAGGCAAGGTGTGGACCCAAAAAACCGCCGAATGAATGCACCACATAGCCAGATTGTAATGAACCCATGGTGCGATGTCCAAGTAGGGATGGCGCACTGTTTGGGGCACTCCTGGAGCCCGACTGGGGTATCTCTGGGCCTCACTGGGGCCCTCGGCGGAGGGGGCGAAAGCCCTGCGTGACCAACGGCGCGGAAAGCCTTGGGCCCAGAGCGCCCTGCTGAGCCCAAAGGGGTGCCCCGAGGCTCTGGGGGGCCATTGGGCCTTGGAGCCCTGGGGCCCCTGGGACACCACCAAACTCGGCACGCCCCTCGCGCGGATCGCGGGGCAGGTGGGCGCGGGCCGAAGGCCTCCAATATATGGCGCCTGGGGGGGGCGGAGGGAGCGGGGAGAGAAGGCAGCAGCACGGGGAGGGAGAGGGAAGAGGAAGGAGAGGGGAGGGAGGTGAAGGTGAAGCTGGAGGGGGCGAGGGGACCGAGGAGGAGGGCGACGACGAGGGAAAGTTGGACGACAATGAGGGCATGATGAGATAGGTTGCCCACCTCCGCCCTGAGAGAAACAGAGCTCACACCTCGTCCGCGCTCCGCGGAGCGCCTCCCGAGAAGCGTGCCGCCGCCACTCGTGCAGTGCAGTTGGTGATGCCCCATCGTGTCGTCGTAGTCGTCGTCCTCGTCGTCGCCGTCGTCGTCGTCGTCGTCGTCGTCGCCCTCTTCCTCCACCCCCCCCTTCCTCATAAATCCTATCATCACCACATGCAGCAACTTGCTGCTTGAAAGGGGCGGCGGCGCGCGAGGCCACCTGACCACGGTGCCTCCTAGCTACCCTGGGGCCGACAGCCCCGAAAGTGCCCGGGCCGATCTCGAAACCGCCAGCGTCGCAAACCTCCACATCTACAACGTGTCGTTGAAGGCCTGCGTGAGCATCTCCTCCAGCTTGGCCGCGATCACTGGGTGGATGTCCTTCTCCTTGAAGTACTTCGCGTCGTGCAGCTCATCCCTGAAAGCCAGCAAGCACTCCTCGTGGTCCTTCGCGTGGACTCCGCCCTTGACGAGCTGAACGAAGCGCGCCTCGAACAGCGTGGCCTCCGCGCGGCCCGCGGCCTTGAGCGCCGACGCCTCGAGGCCACCGAACTCGCTCATCTTGCCGTGCTCGTCGGCCGTCTTCTTGAGCTCGCCAAGCTGCTTGAGCATGTCGCCCTTCAGCGCGCGCGCCTTGGTTGCCAAGCCCTTCTGCTTGAAGAGCGTGGCCTTGATCTGGGTCAGGACCTCCTCCCAGTTCTGCAAGCTGGAGGCGCCGTCCGTCCAGCTCTTGCCGCCGCCGTTCATGATGCCGCCGCTCAAGGCATCCATCTCCTTCACAGCGTACTCCGTGGCGTCCGCCACCAGGTCCCAGTACACCGTCGAGAACTCCTTGAGCAAGTCGCGGCCTGTCTTGATTGCCACTTTGGCGAGGGCCTCGAAAGCCTTGAAGTCGGCCAGTATCGTAACCTCGAGCGTCTTCTTGCCGTCGGCCCCGTCCGAGCCATCCGCACCCTGTGTTGTCGAGGCCCCCTCTCCCTGCGGCTGCTCGGGATCCTGGGGCGGCTCGGCGGCGGTCTCGACGAACTTGGCGAGATGCGAACGGAGCGCGCGCCAAGCCTTCAAGGTAAGACAGCCATCGTGACATCAAACCGCCCACCATCCCACCATATGTCCCCATCAATATTCAAGGACCCCTCGGGCCCTCCACCCCTCACTCCAGTATCCCGCACTCCCCTCGTCCACCCGCGCTCCCATCCCCCCAGCCCCCCAGACCCCAAGGGCATACGATGTCGCGATGGCTGTCTCTCCCGCGGACCTCCTGCGCGTCATCAGCAAGATCCACGTGCAAGTCGGCGAACGGCTTGCGGGCGGTGACGGCTCCGATGGACAGCATCAACTGGATCAGCATCATCTTGGTGACCACCAGCCCGTGGATCTCTCGCGCGTCAGCGTCGAACTCCCCGACGCGATTGACCGCGCCAGCTGCCACTGCCAGCATCTTCTTCATCATCTCGGCGGTCTCGGCCCAGGTATCAGTTGTCTCATCTTCTGCGGTGAAGTCGAGGCCCATCTGCACAACGTGATTGAAGCAAGTCCGAGCACATCCGATGAGCTTGGCGACGACCTCGCCCGAGCCGAAGTGCGCGCCTTGAGATTCCGTCAAAGCGACGGCAATCTTCTGCGCTGTCTCATCGCGCTTGGGGTCGTAGGCGTCGCAAGCCTCCACAAGTTTGTCGCTCTTGCCTTTGATGTACACCTTCTCCTGGAACATCTCCAGGTCGGCATAGATCTTGTTGAATGCTTGGACCGTGTCCTCAGAGATGGCACGCAGCTTCGGGGTGAGGCTCAGGAGATCGAGGAACTCCAAGTTCAACTTTGTCACTTCCTCGATATCTGGCACCGCCTGGTGTCCGATGTCCGACGCGAGCACAGACTTCTTGATAAAGTCCCCCAGCTTGTCGCGGAAATGGTTCATGATGTTTCTCGCAGCACCCAGGCGCAACAACGGGCCCCACTCCTTCAGGTTCACGATGATCGAAGAAATGTCCTGAACGGTCAGAGTCTTGATAGCGTCCCCGAGCACCCGTTCCACGGAGGAGACCTTCTCGCCGCACTTCACGTCGGTGTGGTAGGAACGGTTGCACTCCCCAAGGCACGCTTTCCACTCCGAGCCGAAGGTCGTCACGACCACGCGCCACTCAGGCCCAGCTTCTTCACGAAGGAACTTGCGAACTTCAGACCTGATATCGCACTCCAGCAGCGCTGCGGGCGAGGGGCCTATGAGGATGCGAAGGGACTCGGCGTACACGTAGATCTCCTTCGCGAGGTCTTTGCACACGCCAGCCTCCTCGCGAACCGCCCCGGACTTGACGCGAGGAAGGATTTGATCGATCAGGTCCATCATCCACGAGTTGTGGATCTTATCCTGCTTGGTGCACGACAAAACCAAATTGTCGATGAAGAACGTCCTGCCCGTCTCGACGAGTTCTGCGCCAGGCGCCCCAGCAACCGAGAACCGAGGATGAAGCATCGAAAACTCGCCCTTCAGGGGCCCCAGCGCCGACGCCAACAACATCGGAGAGGGGGGTTGATCAGGGGATCAAGGGGAAGCGAAGGGGAGAGGAGGGGGAGAGGGGGGGGAGAGGGAGCGAGGAGGTGAAAGACCTTGGGGAATTCAGTTGTTGGCGTTAACGTTGAGGCCCCTCCCACCGCGCACTGCTTCCAGGGAATGCAGATCTCGACCTTGCCTCCAACGTCGAACATCTCCTTGGCCGCAACCGCGCAGAGCTGCAGCTTGAAAGGAACCGCGTCCGAGAGGTCCACGTGCTTGATGTTCCCGAGCAGCCGCAGGCGGGTATCCTGCCCCATTTGTTCGATGGCCTTCCCACCCAGAGTCGTGCACCAGTCGACGTCGCTGAGGTAGTTGTCCTTCTCGCCGCCCAAGACGTCGCTATCAGGCTTCCAGCGCCGAAGCGCGTAGATCTTATCACCGATGCCATGGTCCTTACCCTTCGTGAGGATGCGCCCCAAGGAGATCGAATCCTTGAGCTCCTTCAGCCTCGCCTTCTCCGAAGCGTTGTTTGCCTGACCAGGCTTCTCGACGGACGGCGGCGCCCCTGTCATCATCGAGGAGGCCCCGCGGCTGCGGTCGCTGGCACCTGACGGCAGCGGCCCCGCGTCGTCGCCCATGGAGCCACGGGCAGCGCCAGCTGGAACCGAACCAGGCACTTGGATGGCATTGTCGAACGCGGACCTGGGCGGCCTGGTGTCGTCGGTGTTTGGTCCAAGCGACGCTGGACCCTGCGACGCGCCGACGTCGCCTGGAGGGAGCGCGGCCGCGCCGCCGCCGTCGTCGACGCTGCCGTCGGCGATGGCCAGCTTCCCCGTCGGAGCTGCTGGAGGAGTCGGATCGGTAATCAGCCCGAGGCCCCGCGCCGCACCCAAGGCTCTGGCCTCGAGCTCGGCCACCGTCGGAATCCCAACATTCCCCCTCAAGGTAATGGGCATCTGCTCGCGCATGAGCTTGTTGGCGGCCTCCTCCAATGACGAAGCCGCGCCCTCACGGCAGCAATCGTCGGCCGACAGAGCCTTCTCGCTGCGGGTGTTCAGGGTGGTGGTGAACCTGCGCACCTTGAGATAAGGCGACGTCGGATCCAAGGCTAGCGCCCCCGTGACCGCATCACCCTTGTGCTCGTTCTGCACTTCTGTGGCACGTTCCCCTGCCTGCTGCGGCGTTAAGCTCTGCGCCCCTGCAGGGGCGATGTCGGTCTGGTACTGGGCGTCTGTGATGAGGGCGCAGTCCGAGTACACCGTGATGCCAGTCTGCGTGCCCATCGTGACGTCCTGCGGCAACGTGGCCGAGAAGCGCTTTCCGTCGGCGGCCTGGCAGCACGCCTCGAAGGAGTCGGCCAACTCGCTGTCATTCTCGCAAGCCCCGCAAAGAGTAGGCCAAGTGTAATCCATCCAAAACTTCCCCTTCACAAAGCCACGGACGTGGAATGAGCAGCCGAAGGGGAACTTCTTGATCTCCTCACCTGGGAACTTGACGTCGGGGAACGGATGCTCGGCGTCCTCCTTGAAGCCACAGCGTCCGCAGGAACCCTTGGGGCCAGTGAGGTCGACGCTCTTGGTCCTGATCATCAACGGCCCTATGACCTGGGACTCCTTCGACGTCTCGGCGGCGGCCTTCATCTTGGACTTCTTAGTACCACGGCCCCCCGCGCCACCACCGCGGCCCACAGCGCCGCCGCCGCGACCCGCAAGCTGGCCGGCGCCGCTGGGTTCGGGCTTCGCCCGCTTGCCCATCCCTCCGGCTCTCCAGCAGAAGAGAAGACTCGGGTCGCCGACTCGCGGCCCCGGCTCTGAAATCACAAGCCCCGAACTGATCGGAGCCAAACATCGATGTAAAGACAAAGAATATCATGTTGGAATTCGTAGGTAATTGCAGACAACGATACCATGGCACTGCAATGGGCCCTCGGCCAAACAAGAAACCGCATTCCACCGCGCCGACACTATGCGGCACCCAAGCGGATCCGACACGGCACCGCACGGTCACTGACGGAGATGACGCGCACCGCACAGCACCGCACACCATCGCGAGGCAGCGGGCGGCACCACTTTCGAGACCGCGTTGGCCCATGGGCGAACCCCCCTACCTTATGGGCCCACGGAGGCCCTATGGGGGGGGCATCACAAGACCCCATGGAAGGACCCTATCGGAAAACCTGCATAATTACGGGCGGGTCCTACCTACCTTAGGGATGATCCTGGAATCTACTTGTTCGGGGGGTCCTATCTACATCTGGGATGCTCCCATCTACGGTCGGCTGGGTCTTATCGACGTGTTGAGAGGATCCGTTCTGCCTGTTGGGAGAGTCCTACCTAATTTTGGGATGGTCCTACCTACTTGCTTGGGGAGGTCCTATCTACTTGTTGGAGGGACCTATCTACTTGTTGGGAGGGTCCGATCTACTTGTTGGGAGGGTCCGATCTACTTTTGGCGGGGTCCGAACGGCTTCTGGTCATATATACGTGTGTGAGGAACATATCTGATTTGAGGATGATCTTATCTACTTGTTAGGATTGACCTCTCTACTTGTTGGGAGGGACGTATCTACTTGTGGAGGAACCATATCTGCTTGTCGGGAGGGCCCTATATGCTTGTGGGCGGGCCCTATACTTCTTGGGAGGTTCCTAATTATATTTGGGAGGGACCCATCTACTTTTGGTTTCTGAGAAGGTCCTAACTACTTTCTAGAGGAACCCACATCCTTTCCAGGAACCTATCTACTTGTAGGGAGGCCCCGACCTACTTTTGGGCGGGACATATCTGCTTGTTGGGAGTTTCCACCTCTGGGAGGGTCGTACCAACACTTTCGGGAGGGACGCTTTAATTTGTTTAGAGTTCCCCAGCTAAGTTGGAGGAGACCTGCCTACTTTTGGGGCGGACATGTCGAATTGTTGGGAAATTCCTAATATCCACCTCTCGGAGTGGCCAATTCACTTTCGGGAGGGACCGAATTAATTTTGTAATGGACATATCTATTGTTGAGAGGGACCTACTTCTCTGGGGAAGGAGATCTCCACTTGTAGAATCATTTTTTTTCTGTTTGGGAGGGGCCTATCTACTTTTTGGAATGGCCTCCATACTTGCTGGGAGGGCCCTCTCTCATTTTAGGAAGGGCATGTTCATTTGGGATGGGCCTATCTACTCTTGTGACATGCCCGTCCCATTTGGAGACGGACCTATCTACTTGTTCGCAGGGTCCTACCGCCCTGCGCAAGGATCACATCTAATCTGGGGGGGGGCGATCTCCCGCGCGGAAACAAAGGGCACATCTACGTTTGGGAGGGCCCTGCCTACCTCTGGGAAAACATGTATACTTGCTGGGATGGCCATATCTACTTCTGCGATGGACCGATCGACCTTCGGACGGACTTACCTGCATTCGGGAGGCGCCATTCTACTTTTGGGAGGGCCCAATGTACTTGTTGATGTTGTTGTTGTTGTGGTGGGTCTGTTATAATGTTGGATTGCCCTATCTACATATGGGAGGGTCCTGTATACTTGCTGGGATGTTCCAATGTCCGCATGATGGGGGTTTGTCTACTGTGGGGAGCGCCCTGCCTACTTCAGGGACCTATCTACGTTTGCCAAGTGCCCATCTTCTGTTCGGAAGGTACCTATCTACTTCTCGGAAGGACATGCATTCTTCTGGGAATGGCCGACCTACTTGTTGCGATTGTTCCATTTACTCTTGTGAGCCGCCTATCTGTGATGGGGCCGATCTACTTGTTGGGAGTGCCCCATCTACCTGTGGTAGGGACCTGTCTGCGTTTGCCCTGGGAAGGGCTGGGCTATTCACTGCTGGGAGGGCCCGATCTACTTCGGGATGGACTTATCCAATTGCTGGGAATTGCTGATTTATTTCTGGGAGGGGCCTATATGATTTTGACAAATACCTGATGCTCCAGGAGGCCGCGGGCGTCGAACCCGAGCGTCCGCCAACCGCGTCGGCCTCTTGCGAGGTTCGCTGCTCGGGGCGCGCTGCGCAGACATTGCTGCGGCGGGCATGGGGCGCCCCCGGCCGCGCGCTGCCGCGCGCTAGCCGATGCTCGCGGCGCCGACTGCATGACCCGAGCCCGCGCAGCGGATGCCCCTCGGGGCGGGCCCCGCCAGACTTGCCCCCACCAGGATTCTTCCATTGGGGGGGGGCGCCGCAATTTCACCCATGCGGGGGCCGATCCCATGCCCAAGCCCCGCCTCGCACATACCTCGACACTGGTCAGCCACCACCTGGCCATGCCGAGCCGACCGACATCTACCCCTCCCACGCAGCCTTCTTCCAACAGAATGGCCGCGGCAACAGCCGCTTCCGCTGGCGCACCCTACCAGGAGAGCCCCACCTGATAAACCGATTCTCAGGCACGTCGCGTCGAACACGCCACAGCGGCGGCGGCTCTGCGGCGAGATACATCGCGCGCAGCGCGCGGCTCATGCGCCCGCGCCGCGCACGCGAGATCGCAGTTCCAGCATCGCGGCGCCCGCGGGCGCCGCGAGCAGCCCCGCCCCGCGCTGGTCCATGCAGACCGCCCAGCGACGACAGCCCCGAACGCGCTTGCCCGCACGGGGCCGCCCCGATCGGCGGCGCGCTGGGAAGCCCGCCGGGCCCTCGCAGCGCGCCTGCGCGGCCCGCTGCCATTGCCCAGGAGGCCCGCATCGAGCGGCGCTGGCGCGCGCACCGCTGCCCCCCCGCGACGCGGGTGCCGAGGGTCTCCCGCAGCAGCGCGGCGCGTGGGGGGGCGGGAGCGCCCCGACGCCAAGGCGGCCGGGCAGGCGGGTTCGCATGGCGCGCGCGCGAACGCGCAGGAAAGGGGCGGCCGCCCGCTGTATATTCCCACGTGCGTAGCCGCATGGGGCCAACGCGGCGCGGTCCTTGGCGCAGCGCCGACGGGGCCGCAGCCGAATGAGCGGCCAGGCGAGGGGGAGGGGGGGGGGGGGTAGATTGCGAAAATTCAGGCATCGGGGGGTGCTCGAGGGGGGGGGGAGATTGCGAAAATCCGAGCATCGATCTGCGCCGTGCAATGTAAAACCGCCATAAGGTTTTGGTCGCCCGAAGCATTTTCGATGCCAGAACGCATGGCTCCTTGATGGCCTCTCGATGGATTTATGATGACGTTTTGATGGCCTTATGATGACGTTTTGGTCGCGCGCTCCGAATGACGATGGGTTTATGATGACGTTTTGATGGGTTTATGATCGGTTTTGGTTGTGTTTTGATGGTTTGGCGGTGCCTGCGCTGCAATTTCGATATCTGCACATGGCATAGTACGTTTTCGCAGTACGCAGCCCCTGCCCCCGCTGAGCAGGCGGCTCGAAATACCTGTCAGCATTGGCAAGCCAGTACGCCTCTGCCCTTCACGGCACGGCATTACGCTCCCGTTTGATGGCTTTATGATGACGTTTTGATGACGTTATGACGGCGTTTTGATCAACCACCCTTAAACTCGTTCGTTTTGTGATGACGTTTTGATGGATTTACGATGGCCTTCCGATGGGTTTCCGATGGGTCCGCGGTTGGGTTTTGATGGAATGGGCCAGCGCACGAAACGTCGGCGTTCCGCTTTCGATGGGCTGGCGCGCCACGCGGAGCCGCGGCGCGCCGCGCGTAGTCGACGTGGCGACCTGCATGCGTCTGCCAGGGCGGGCCACGGCAGCGCGTACACAGCGGTGTCGGCCCCGCCCGCGCGCCCCGAGCGCTTGGGGCGGCGGCGCATCCAGCTGAATGTAGCGGTTACTCGGCCCGCAAACGCAGCCGCACGCCAGCGCGCCCATGGCGTTAGCCGCGCCGCCCGACACCAGCGCCTGAGGCGCGCGGGGCGGCGCGCGCGCGCGGGCGCGCGTCAGCGGCCGAGCGGGGTAGCACGCGCGCCGCGAACGCTGTTGAAGTAATAACGCACACATGCTCGAATGAGCGAAACGGGCGCGGGCGCGCCCGCGCCCAGGGCCCAGGGCCCAAGCCCTGAGCTTCGAGCAGCGCGCGCTGGGCAAGAGACTGAGGGCGCCCAGGGCCCAAGTTAAACCCAAACCCACCGTCCGAGAGTCGCAAATGTTGCCGCGAACCCCGCGCCCCAAGCCCTGCGCCATGAGCATGGGGCGGCCACCTCTGAGCCGCAACCCATTTCAGCCATGGGCCTGGTGCTTTGAGCCCGAAGCCCGAAGCCATAGGACTGGCGCCCAGCGCCAGAAAACTGGCGGCGCAATCCCTGAGCCACAGACCTATGCCCGAATTGTCGGGCCCTCGTCGAAGAGCTCTGGGCCCAAGGCCCGCCTCATGCCCCGAGCCTGGAACCGAGCGCCCAGAGCCCCCGAGCCCTCTGCATCCAATCCGCGCCTTCAACATGTAGCTGCAAGCTTGAAGCAGGGGCCCGCGCGCCCGTAGCCGCGCGCGCTGAGCTCTGCGCGTTCGGCCTCATAACAAACGCTGCGCCCGAGAACGCGGTCGCGAGATCATTAGGCGCGGCGCGCGAGCCAATGCATCTCGGTTGCAAACCATGCACCGTCGTCCATGGGCGTTGCGCCATCGGCCCGCGGCCTCGAGCGAAGCCCTCGGCCACGGGCCCCCCAGCCTCAGTCGGGGCCCGCATGCACTGCGCATTAAGCGCCGATCATTGGCCCCTCGGCGATA